ACAAGGGGGGATGTAGGTTGTCATGTCAGGACGACGTGTAAGAAGTACTGATATGCCACGAAACCTGTTTGGGAGGGATGTTGGGTGGGGTATGATTGGAAAGAGAAGTCGTACTTACGTTTGTCTGTGGATTCGAAAGAGTTGTCCGATGGTTGGGTGATGTCGGGGAAATGGCACCCGAATGACAAGGCTGTGATGACGTCCAAGAGGTTCATCTCTAGGGGCGACGTAAGCCTGGATGTTGGGGAAGGGGGAAGGACGTACGGTTATGGTATACATGTTCATTGCTCGCATAACCATGGCCGAGAGATTGAGGTGAAGATTGGCTTTCATTCGTCATCGGTCAGGGAAAGCCCCAAGAAATGGGATTCAAATGCGTACCTGTAACCCGTTTCACCTGAAGAGAACCCCAGACTCTACACTCGTTGCCGTGTGGTTGATAGTTATACGCTTGCTTGAAGTGGGACTCGTTTCTTCGGAATAAATTGGCGCACGAGCTGCGGGATTCCCGGGACTGTGAAGTGGCTTGACGAGCAGACAAAGCTTCCGGGTGTTCCCTAAACGTTGGTCAGTTTAGACGGTTGGAGACTCAAGGAAAAGAGCTTACTTGAGCGCCGTCACTTGTCCGACATCAAACTCGGTCTGGAGATCGTGTCAAGCCTAACTTCCGAAGTGAACGTCGCTGGCTGGATTGCCCACCACCACTCAGGTGTAGCCCATCTGGCGGAAGCCTCGGCAAAGCATTGAACTTGGCCAATGGCGCTGGCACCGCCGAATCGAGCTGGTCGAGAAGCGAAGAGTCGTCGTATATCGTCGGCGAGGTCAGCGAGCGCCGTTGATACGAACAGTAGAGAAGAAAGAGTTCATGGAGAAGCTTGGAGCGACGCGTAGCTTGGCACATGTTAGTTAGGGTTTATTCGTAGGAATGTAGAGAAACCGATACCAAACCAGCACCACTAGAGGGGTGCAGACAAGTAATAAGCGTCGCAGTGTTGGCAAAACCAGTGGATATCCACGTGGTCCCCACATTACTTCTAACCTTCTTTGGCCCAACCCGTCCGTGGCAGCTGATCATGGAGGGATTGGCCTTCGGTTCCCTTTGGCACCGGACAGTATACACGCTTCTGCGAGGTCAACGTCGGGTGGTGCGAGTGTGATGGGAAGGAGTACTAATACGGGGGAATATGCCGTCTTATTCGCACTTTCCGCCTGCTTCGAATCCTGCGATTACTACGAGTGAAAATGGGAGTGGGGATGTAAGCCAGAGTCCACCTAGAAGACCGACACCTGTCGGAACGAAGAAGGACGATCGACGTGGATGGGGAAGAGCGGCTCATATTGGATACCATCCTGCACATGTATGTATTAGGCTTCTTGTCAATTTGTAGATCTAAAAATTAGCTATCATTGAAAAGTCTCGTAGGCGAAAACATTGATATAATATGTATGTAAACGTGCTGCACTTGAATGAAGGAACAATAAAAGCGGAAAACACAGAAGACGAAGTTGCCGCGGTGGGCCGTTCCTCTTTGACCTTGCACCATCGCCGGCACCCTCAAATGGCAACCCTCACAAACCTCCCTCACCCACTAGAACCAAGCAGGAGGATGACCTGGTCTACAGTTCAAGAGAAAAGCATCTTGCCTCTGACCAAAATGAACAAACACCAGAGCAGTCTCTTTTTCCAACGTACCTTCATTTCCTAGGTTCTCTCAACGGTACTTTACGTGTGCTGCGGTCATGACACGCTTTATAGTCCTCGGTCCATCCCTGTAACGTGTCCACACCCTCTACGTCGACCGTCCACCCATTACACGCTTTGTTAGATCCACTTCTGTTCACCACAGGATCCACGACGAAGAGATACCGCGAGGAGCTGCCCAAGATCTTAATGTCA